GTGAGGTGGTGCAGGCTCCCACCCTGGGGGTTTTTAAGAGGAGGTTGGATGACCACCTTATTGGGGTCATTTGACCCCAGTGCTCTTCCTGCCATGGCAGGGGGTCAGACTAGATGATCTGCTCAGGTCCCTTCCGACCCTAGAAACTATGAAACTATGCTCAGAAGCAATCCAGATCGAGCACCAGAGTAGTTAACTCCTACCAAAGCTCCATTACAATCTAGACTGGAGCTAGAAGGTACCTACAGCCTACTTAAAATCCTCAATCTGTCAGCACCTACAGAATACACCTAGGGCAGAATTTGATTTCACCTTGTAGATGACCACATGCCACTTGCAAGTTACCTGGCAAAACTGTAGGAGCAATTCTAATTATTGCCTGGGCATGTAAGCACCTCAATTACAGGAATAAGATCACCCTCCAAAGACACACAGACATCTCCCTATTCCTATATTGGGAGTACTAAGGCAGCCAGAGGAGGTAACAGAATTGTTCACACACTTTAGCAGGGGAAATTCAGAATTGGCCTTAAGCTGCCCTTTGCTTATCCACTAGGTCAGAGGTGGGCAAAATGCGGCCCGGGGGAGGAATGCGGCTCGCCAGGCCATTCTATCCAGCCCACAGGACCCCTAAAAAATTTAGACAATTAATATTAATCTGCCTCTGGCTGCCTGTCATGTGGCCCTCGATGGCTTGCCAAAACTCAGTAAGCGGCCCTCCGCCCAAAATAATTGCTCACCCCTGCCCTAGGTGAAACAAAATTCTGCCTCTGACGTGCAACTGACACGGACAGTAAGGAGTTCAGTACAAAACAAAGAACGACCAGAGATGCCCACCTCCTGCATAATACATTAAACGCTACACCACTTGCCCAAAAAGTGGGACACCTGGGTTTCTGGCTTTCCTCAGCCTGAGCAGGGTTCAAACAAACATCTCCCACATCCCAGAAGAGTGCCCTAATAGAAGAGGGTGGGTGATGGTACCTTCTATCCCTCCTACTAAATCTGGGACAACAAGAATTAAATGAATTCAAGATTTACGGGGCCAGAAGGAAAATAAGAAAAAGGGAGCCTGATTCTGTAGATGGAGCGATGAAGTAGGCCCATGAAGTGGGGGGGTGGGAAAACGACAAAGCCAGTGAGAAGCGGATAGCTGGGCTGTCTGTGTACTTTAGACAGTCGTGTCAAAAAAAAAAGTAACCACAGCACCAGTGTCACTGGGCTAATGTTTCAGGCTCTCTTGCTTGTTCTCCTTCCAGCCCCAAATCTAACAAGAGTTTGTCCTTTGGAGGTGGCAAAATACCCTCAATGACTGTAAACAGATCCTAAGCTCCTAATTCTCTTGATTTATGCTGCTGTCCTAGAGGTGCCAAACTTTGAAGCATTGAAATGACTCAATGGAAGTGAACTATGAATGATTTGGCTCTAGTCTTCTGTAACAATAATGATAGGAAATTGAAAACAATGGGAAAACCTTTCTGAATGAACTGCTGACAACTGGCTTACAATGCAGGCTCTAAGTCATTCCATGCCAGCAACCTTCTTGTGCTTAAACCAGAGATTCCCAACCCAGATGTTACAGCACGCAAGAGATCCTTTCACAGGTTTTTTGAAATCAGGTGTGGAAACTTGATTCACAAAATAAAACCAGAGATTTCATTCATAGTGTTAAAAACAGTTCAACTTTTAATCTTTCTGAATTCTTTGCAATAAAAAAGTTCTATTATTTTTCCATAGTTAAAAAATGAGTGAAAATTTAAGAGCTAGCACTTTCTGAGGAGTTCCTCAAATCTAACTAGAGGTGCCTCAGATCTAAGGAGGCTGAGCACCACTGGCTTAAACACCTTCCACACTGCCTCATTAAAAATCAAAAACACCATTCTTACACCAAATGGGAATGTCCACTCACAAGGCAGAACTGCACTGGCTTAAAGTTAAACCTCTGCTTACACTGCTCTCACTCACCCATAAAATCAAACCCTATTGCAAAACAAATGCCTGTAAATAATTCCAGTGAGAAACAAATTCTGGCAAGTTAATGTTAGTCACTAAGGAACTGTTCATGGGAGAATCTGCAGATTTCCTGTCATTGTTCATTTACTGGCTCAAATACAAGCTACAGGGAGGTATAGCAAGAAAACAGCAACTGAAAGTTTAACCAGTTTTTTTCCCCCCCGTACACTTGCTGATACAACTTCAATACAAGGAAGGTAGATGATAAAGCAAAAACAGTTTGTACAGCAGGAACCACTAAGTGGAAGGATGGCATTATGGTTAAAACACTAGGCTAGGACTTCAGAAATCTAGGTTCAGTTTCTTGGCCTCCTACAGATTGCTTGTGTGACTCTGAGCAACCCCTTTAATCTCTCTCTGTCTCCATTCTCCATCTGTAAAATGAGAACTACACCTAGGACAGTGAAGCCCTGTTCCTGATTCAGGCCCAATACTTAGGTATACAGAGAATTCAAACTGCTGATTTTTTTAAAAGTGTAAAAGGAATGAAAAGCAAGAGGCCTAAGATAAATACAGGGACAACATTTCCTTGTTCATGTATCTTAACAACAGCATCTAGTTGTAAGTGTGGTATTTTATAAAGGACACCTCCTTAGATTTGGATGGGAGTAGGGGTAGAGGTGGGGGTAGGAAGAGGGATCTCCAAAATGAGATCTCGCTAAAAATTTTGCATCTTCTCTTTTTCCATGGTCCACCTTTTTCTGTGCTGCTATACCTTTCTAATAAAATTTGAAAGAAATAACTAAATAAAGTACTTTGCAATGGTTGCATTGTGGCTTGCTTTGAGAGACCTAAAATGCTTTTACCAAGGAAAACGGGTACAAATAAACGACATTTTCAGTCGCTCATTTAGGCACAGAGAACAGAGCGTCTAATTGGTGTCACCCACCACACACACAAACATCCGCACAATACACAGTTAATCAGCCTCACAACTTAAACCAGAAGTCAGGTCTATAAGAAAAAACATTTGTGAGAAAAGACAGATCATTTGATTTTTGACCAAGGAAAGGATTAATAGTTATCTATTACTTCCAAAAGATTTAGTCACCACTTAAACCTTGGCAAAGTTGCAGGTTGTGCTTAACCAGGGATTCAGTGCAAAATGCACCCTACTATCACAAGGGGAACAACACAAAACAACTAAAAATTTCAGCTAAATCAGGGCCCAAATAACTGCAATACAAGTAACAAATGCCTCTTTTTTATCAAGATATTTTCCTTAGTCTTTTATTCTGAAATGAAATTGAAAAAGTTATGTGGTGAGTAAAAACGCCAACAACATGTTCTTACTTTTTCTTTGTTTCAATGTCCAGAGGGATTTGTCTTTTCTTTGGTGGGGGAGGTGGTGGCAATTCTTGTTTGGACCATTTTACTGTCACCTGCTCCTTTACAGATGCCATTTCCATAACAGTCCTGTGTGAAACTTGGGACAACCCTATACTTCCCACAGCCTGAGTCACCTACACAAAATGATGAGTAAAAAATGTTACTGTTTTATAATATAAACTCCATGTTAAATTTAAATTAATCCATTGCCTTGATATGGCAGTAATAAATCCAGTGGATACTAGCAATCATCATAACCAGCTTTCATGTAGCATTTTCATCAAAAGTTGTCAAATATTATCATTTCTGCAGAACACTCAGCAAAGAATAAACTGATTCAACAACACTCATGATAGATTTTTATTCAATAGTTACAAATAAGATTCTTTAAGGTTTGTTTAAGTATAATTAAAATGTATTAGTGTTCCAGAACATTTTTTTCATAAGTAAAGCTTCAATTATGCAAAGTCTGACACAAAAGGGACCCGACCCAAATGCCACTAAAGCCACTGGGATGCCTTCTAAAGACTCAAACGGGGTTTGAACCAAGTCACCTGGGAGTGCAAGTAAAAGTTAAGCTAAAGGGCTTTGGGAAAATGAAGTCCTAAGAGTCCTACTCAGAGCTCCTTAGTGAAACAAAATCCTCACCAAGGTCAGTAAGAGATCACCCAAGTAAGAAATGCCAACTAGAACCCAGAACAGTAAGAGACATACTAAACACTTCACCCGTGCTATTATTCTTGTGTGTCAAAATAAATGCTGATGCTCAATCCAGTGGGGTAAATCTGTTTTACACAGAGAAAAAAAATCAAAATGGGCTAAGCTAAAACTTTAGTATGACTAGACATTAACTCTGACTTATAAAGGAACCACACATCAGCCAGTTTCAGCAGTCTTACAATGTTTAGAAAGTCACATAAACAAAAACACGGTATTGCAACTTATAGCAAAGCATTTCGCCCACCAGTAAAAGTGAAGATACCAATACAGCCTGCCCATGCTTTTACTCTGAGTAAAAACAGAAGAGCAGTGTCTGTGGAGTTAACTACTTTGCAATCTGAAAACCAAAGAAGTCCTCAGAGTATATACCAGGAATAAAACTGGCCAGGAGTCTAAGCAGCTGAACCCATTTCCCCTAAGCTATTAGCAAACATTCCGCAGGATTTTGTGCATATAAGCACACACATCTGAAAAACTGAAAGACAACATGTTACTGTTTGGGTACCTGGTTAGAGAAGTCCTCAAGCTTCTGAACCAAGCTGTCCCACCTCTGAGTTAGTTCCTCCAGATCACAGTCAATTTTATTTGAAGCCCTTTCGCTCCCAAGGAGCTGTGCCACATCTTGACCAATCTCACTTAGCTGGTCTAGCATTTGACGCTTCATTCCCATATCCTCCTTCAAAATCTGACATTGAAAAAACAGTTAATTGACCGTATGAATTTTCAGATCACATGCTAATTTGCTCTTTTGTTTTTAAATTCCATGGGCAATTTATCACATGATCTATGGATGCTACAAGTTTGAAAGCACCATGTTTTACCATGCTACAAGAGACATAAAAATGCATAATAAGCCCACAAAATTACTATTATACTGGATAATCAGTAATGCTGTTTTACCAGAATTAGTAAAATACTAGCTTAGTTAAGCACTAAATATGCTGACAATCTTCAAAAAACCAAAAACACTGTTAATCATACAAGGCACCCATCCTGTAATGCAAGAATAGAGTTTAACTTTTACAGTGGGTTTTTTTGGAACAGAAAGAGAAGGAAGTAAAGCCACAAATCCCAGAAAATCCCCTTTAAATGATGCTATGCTAGAAGGAGAGTTTAAGAGGGCAAAGGCCACCTACATTCTCACCCCTTTCACTCCAGCTTAAAAAAGCAGCCCATAGAATGAGAGTTTCCCAAAATACTTCAAACGGTCAAAAGAGATGTCATTTTTCAAAGGAAAAAAAGAAAAACAAACTTCAGTGAAACATTTAGACAAACAGCAAGCAAAGAATACACAGCCTAATTTTTACAGATGCTAAGCATTCACAGGTGAAGTCAGACCAACTGTGTTCTTTACTTATTTTTTTAAAAATTGAAAAAAACCAAAATTACTGACTGATTTTTGATGTTTGGGAAGTTTTGGAAATGAAAAAGATCTTTTATCAAACAATGTTCTACAGAGGAGACTGAAACAAGATGCTTATTTAGAAATTTAATGGATGTTCTTAGAGTTGCTAAAAAAGAACATTTTCTTACCTCCAAGCCAGAAAGTTTGGGAAACTTTTTTGAATATTGAAAGAGAGTGCAACTTCTATGAGCTAACAGTTGAAAAAAAATTTAGAAGGAATTTGAAATCTAAAAGCAGAGATGGATGAAAGATAGTGAATTTTATAACATACAGAGTTCTGAGGGAAAAAAGGGATGTGAAACATTAAGCAAGTTGCATACAGAGGAAGAAATACAGATGCCTGACAGACTATGTAATCTATAGAGCTGCTGGCAGATAGAACAGAAGAAAAGGACACAAGACTCCTCCATGGATACTGACCTGGGTTAAAGGAGCACTGTTGATGGAGGATAGATATTTGTCTCTATATACCTGCTAGAGGACTGGCTGCATCTTAAGTAAGGTTCTATTATTTAACAAATCAAATTTTAAAAAATGACAAAGGGACTGGGGTACCAATACTCACTGCCAGTTTCCGAACGTTTGCGCTCAGCTCTGTTTGATCTCTAAAATTGCTTGTTTGGACTTTACTTAAAGCTGCTTCTTTTTCAGTTAGCCAAACTTTCAACAGGCACTAAAGGGAAGAAAGGAAACAACATGGGACTAGCTTCAAAGAACTTCAGGATAATAAATCACCACAACTAAGGGCAAATTCTTTCGTTCAGATTTTCATGTTAGATCAAAATGGCACCGCAACCCTTACATGCACCAAATTTCAGTTGACATTAATAGGAATAGTTACTATGTATATTGGGATAATACTGGACTAGAACCCTCTGAAATAATTTCCAGTCATTTTTTTCCCCTGAAAAATACATTCAGGTCAGCTTCAATGCTTCAGGAATTCTTGCCAAGTCTGGCCCAATGTTTCAGTTGAAAAAAGAGCCTAAAGTTTCTCTAGAAGTCTGACGGTTTGGTTTCAACGTTTTCAAAATGAAGTATTTCAATTATTGCTTAACAACATGACTTTATTTTAATGAGAATTTTTATAATTGGAAAAAAGAAACTTTGAGTTTCACTTCTAGCCTTCCCCCCCACCCCCACTTCTCATCACTGGTTCAGGACTAGAGTTTCCAAACAGTGTGCTTTCAAAATATGGCAGGTAATAGTGTGCATCTCTTCTAGCCTTGGCAGCTAATAGGTCAGACTTGCAGCTCGCATATAATCGAAAATGCCATTAAATCATTACCATTACCAGTTTGTCTATTCCTAACTCAACTATGACAATTTTAGCAGGCAACACTTCACAAACCACTGGAGACAGAAACCCATACTGTTTAAAAAAGATGAAAAATCATGCTTTTGAGTAGTACAAATCAGGAATTTCCTTAACATTTTTCACATTGTGGGCCATGTGTTTACAGTAAAACTATCATGTGTCTCTTTTTATCTAAATTGTCCAGACCACTGCCTTTCCTCTTAGGGACCACATACTATCCCTATGGCAACTACAGCAGTGGACTTGAAAGAAAAAGTGATATTATCAAGTGTGTAATATGTTACAATCTTCTTTCAATGAACCTTAACAGCTGGAACCAAAAAAGAAAAGACCAAAAAACCCCAACCACCCCAAAAAAACAAAAAAAGAAAACAAAAGCAAACTACCAAGGCCCTAATTCTCCAGGCCCCAATAGTCAATTAACTCTCCAGGGACCCCAGGGTAACCACTGAGATATATCTGCTTTTGCAGACAAAACTTGCAGTTCAGAGATACTACATTTTAAAATGACCACTGGATTCAGTCCTGCCACTGGCCCAGGACTCACTATAGCAACACTTAAATCAAACAGTAATGTATTTTTTTAGGGGTGTGAGAAGCTGGCTGTATTCAATTCAGATTCAGCCCAATTCGGGGGACAGTGATTTGATTTGCTAATTCGGATCACTGTCCCAATTCTATTGGGCCAAATCTGAATCTGAAGATTCAATTCTGATTCAGAGAATCAGCTATTCGGCCATAGACACACCTTTAAACGTTTTTTCTACATACCTCGAGGTACCAGACGCGGCTCATGAATGCTTAGATGGTAGGGTAGATGGACCATCCCACAGGAGCACGAGGGGGCACCCTGTGTGTTTGGCGGTGGACCCAGAAGTGGACCGGAAGTGCTTCCAGTCCACTTCTGGATCCACCACCAAGCGTGCTGGGGACCCCCCCCAAACTCCCATGGGATGTTCCACCCACCCCAGCATCTCAGTGTTCACGAGCCACCTGGTACCTTGAGGTATGTGGAAAAAACATATAAAGCTGTGTCTGTGGCTGAATCGTCAAAACTCTCCGAACTGGAGAGATTAATGGGTCTTCTCATTAGATTTGGATTCGGAGATTTGGCTGCCGAATCGGGCTGAATCTCCTCCAAATCGAATCAGCGACTGAAGCTTTGCACAGCCCTAGTACTTTTCACTTCCAGTATAAACCGAATACATAGATGTACAGACAGCAAAATGTAAGTGATGGAAATTCCAGAAGGCCTGAATTAACAAAGCTATACCACCACGTACGCGTTAGAAAATCAAGCTAATGTTCCAGCCAGCACATTTTATACTGAACAGATAAGTTTAAAAGCCCTTCAATTAATCTCTGCTAACTTGGCCGTCAGAGATAACCCTCTTTATGAAACTGAAACATAATTATTATAGTGCTAAGAAATATATGGCACTGAATGAGGAATTTGTTTCCTGAGTGGTAAGAATTATGATGACTTCATAGTCCGACTTCCAAAGATGCTTTAGGCAGCCACAAAAGGCTAATGAAACTCTGTACTCATCCTTCCATTTCATTGGTGAAATAGGAATATGACAGCAGCTGAATGCTTTAAAGTATTATTTTTTGTTATGCAAATATTCTGAGAGAATTTTAAATTGGTTGTAAACACAGTATTTCCAGTTATCTTGGAGTTTCTAGCTGACAAGGGTTGCTTATGTGAGAGCTTGGCAATAGCAAATGTACCATTCAAATCCGAGTGAGTGAGTGAGTGAGTGAGTGAGTGAGTGAGTGAGTGAGTGAGTGAGTGAGTGAGTGAGTGAGTATTTGCTCAGATCATCAAAACACAAACAATACTTTGAGCTACTTAGGTCCTACAATAAAATGACAAGTAAAAACTAACATTTCCATCGCTATTATCTCCTTTTTACATAGGAAAAGACCCCCCAAAAATTTTTCAGTCTTTCAGTCACACACACATTATGTACATATTTATTATGAGCCACATACCTAGCTTCATTAGCTAAATAATCTGTCCTCATTTTCTGGTTAAAGATGGGTCCTAACTAAATGTATACGCCACTATAAAATTATGGGATATATAATTTTACATGTTTGCATGAAAACACGTATTTACAAATAAGTGGCATTTGATAGACTGCTCTCTAAAATGTGTTACAACTTCAGGGTAGAGCCATGCTAACTTCTGAGGCCACATCCAGACAAGCACAGCTGTGCAGTATGTGGCAACACAAACACATCTGCAGTGCCACATACCGCACAGTCAGATGTTCTCCGTGCTGTAAGGGAGCACTGCCCGTGCATGCACTGCTCGTTTTTTTTTTCCCCCCCATGGGTTTTTTGGGATATCCAGAGGTCAAAAAAACAAACAAACAACAAGCAATAAAAAACCTGCAGGAAAAAACCGCGGAGCAGCACACGCACCAGCAGCACGCACCGCTCAAAAACAGAGCCGGGCCACCCAGAGCCATGTTGCGGCTGCTGGCCAGGCTCTGCACAGCAGAACTGCCGCTGCTGCAGCAGCCCCAGGAGGCCCCAAGGACCCCAGGTAAGCCTACTGGCCCCAGCCTCCCCTACACCACCCAAGGGTAACTTGCCATACACCAAAGCATGCGTGGCATGGGCATTCCCCAGGGACAAGTAGTTGCTGCGCAAGGTGTGCCACCACTACTTGTCACCAGGGAACCAAACATCCACATTTGTGCGGATGCAGTCTGGGTGTCTAGATACAACTGAAATACATCTACCAAAATAAATACTTTTGTCAAAACCTCAGGAACGCATCTTGCTACTAATAACGTAAGTACCATTCTTTGGCTTCTGATGGCCACAGGACCCAAATAGTTTTATTTTATCTTTGCATATATAAAAACAAATATAAATATAACATGTAATGTCATCATACTGAAGTCAAAGCATTGGAGCTTAAGAGCACTACAGAACAACCATGAGCTCTCAACCAAGAATTCAGATGCTCACAGATGCAGAAAAGACTGGCATGTGCCTCAATACATCAGACTGACCATTTTATTTTACATTAACGTTTTTAAAGAAATTAGCCGTGATTAATGGACTGCAAAATGAAGCACACTTGTCAATGTTGGCAGCATTTACAGCACACTTGGGAAACCTTCTAGAACTATCAGGCCACCAATTACTTAGGAATTCACTTGCTTTATTGTCATGGTCAATAAACAACAACTTCGACTTCACTCCCTTCTTCACTGGCCTTAAAACAATTAAAAATGTTTTGCTGTTTTAGAGGTGTATGGACAGATTCAAAATAAATCTATTGCAAATTCTTGAACTGACTCAACATAATACAAACGTACATTGTTAGCTAATGACAGCCTAATGACAGTAGAAACTTACACAGGTTATACAGCTCAAATATTGATCATAAAAGATGAGATGCTTGTTACTGTGCTTTGATACCCCTACTTCTATATTATATTCAAGGAATGCACAGGAGTTTTATTATGAACAAAGGAGTAAGGATTATTCAACTTAACAATATAAAAACAATGAAATACACTGTCAAAATTTAAAACCGAAGAAAGGATTTTTTTTTAAAATACAACTGGTAAAAAACACTCGCAGCACAAAATATTACTAACCGTGGCAGGACACAGTTGGTGCCTGTCACTTTAAGGGCCGAGTCAAGCATCCAGCAGGTACTTGATTGCGCAGCCATTTCAGAACCATGGCCGCCTATATAAACAGAGCAGTTTGCTGCTGGCAGCCAGGCAGGAAACATCACCTGGCTGAGCTGCTGTATGAGAACATCTGCAGGTAGGAGCAGAAGGCTCTTGGTCCTGGGCATGACCTAAAACAGCACTTTTGCAGGAGGGGGTGGCCTGGTGGGGCTCCCAGTGGCGCGGGAGGGTGGCAGGAAAATACCAGACCAGTTACCACCCCACTGGAAGGTGGGTTGGTGCGCCTCAATAACCCCTAGCCCCCACATCGCTGTGGATAGCAGAAGGGGCCAGGCACGGCTACGGCCACCTGGTCCCCAACCAGAGAGGGAAGCCCCATAGCCCCAGTGACGGGGCAGAGGTGGAGCCCCAGTAAGGAGGAAACTAGAGAGCTGGGAGCCTGGTGTGTGCGTGAGTCTGTATAGAGTTGCCCTGGGAGGGGCCAGGGCAAGCTTGGCCCCAGTTGGGTAACTGACTGGCCACTACCCTTGGGAGGGTCGCAGGAGAGGCCCAAAAGACAGCATGTCTGCCACCCAAGGTGTGAGCTAGATAAAGTCTATAGCTGAAGGGGCCTGCTCCAAGAGGGGGCAAGGCGGTATAAGTTGTCGATGCGTGAAGGAGACCCTGTGAGAGGGGGTGGAGCGTGAGAGGCCCCAGTGAGAGCAGGGCGATATGAACGCATGTGCATCTGAGGCCTGACAACAAGGGCTAAGCTTGGTCC